ATCTGTTGCTGCTGCCACGCCCCTGCCATACTTGCAATTGTCTCTTTGCGTTTGGACGCCCTACAACTTTCACTTGTTGCGCGGAAATGGATGCGCGATTTGCGTAGGCTGCTAGCATAAATTCAGCCAACCGTGGCGCACTTGTTGTAGTTTGCGTTCTCTTTTGAGCAAGGAATTAATGCCAAATTTGTAATAAAAAACATAGTTTATTTGAGCTCTATAAAAAACGATGTTAGTGGAAAATGTTACAAACAATAAGTTATTCAAGACATGAACAAATTTTTTGAGTTGGCTTAGTTTTAAAAACAAATTATTAAACTATTTGGAATATGTCGAAACAGTGTTAGTACTTAAACTGTTGTATACGATTATTTCCAGATGCTTAAAAAGTTAAAATAATATTTTTAATATATTTTAACCAAATAGGTTGATTGCTTACTAGTTTGACAAAAGATAAAGTATAGTTGCAAAGCGAATAAGGTACACAATAATTGAACATTTTATCATAATATGATTCGGTAGATGCTTACATAAAATATAACGTCCGAACTATTTAAGAAAGCGTTGAATTAAAGAATTAAAATTAAAAAATAAAATGTTTATTAATTATTATGTAATAATAACGAAATATAATAAAAATAATAAAATCAATATTTGTCGAATAAACTTGTAAACTTTTCAAACTTTTTATTATATATATGTTAAAACAAAATTTACTAACTTAACTTTATTTTAAATACACTGTATTATTTGTTTTAATTTATTTAACTTTAATAAGTAGTGCGTTTTTAACGTTGACTAATATTCTAAAATATTGTCGCTCATATTGGATCTGTCACTTTTGGACTTCGAACCACCCATGATGTTGATCGTGGATCTAAACTGCATCGGCTGCAGCATGCTGATTGATTTGTGACAACCTGTCTGTTGACTTTGGCTTTCGGTCGTGCTTTTTACATAAGCCAGACCGTCGGCGTTTGTCGGCGTTCATTGCAACAGATACTTGCGGAAGTGCCGCTGCCCATTCGACAAACACCGATGGCTTGGCACTGGTCACTGCTCGATTGCCTGGGATTTTTGATGGGTATTTGAGGGCCGGCCGACGGTGCGCATGCGCAATAAACCGTTTTATGCATAACGGAACCGCAGTGCTGTTAATTTCTGCGCTGCGTGCACAGAGCTAAAAGCGTCAACGGGTCGGCGACGTAACGTCGTCAAAGTCGGGCGAGTCATGTGCTAATTAATTGTTAATGAAGCTGGGAGTTACGTGGCCTTATTTGATTATTGGCTAACATTGCCGGAAAAGTGATATTTGTAATGATGATCAAACTGATATGATTGCATATTAACACTAGATATATATACATTTAATCTTTTAAAGTGCTTTCTTCATTTTTATTTAATTTTATATTTTTTTTTTAGTTTAGTTTAGTTCAGTTTAATTCAAATTTAATAAAAACTTTATTATGGGAACAGCATTTATTGCCCCTTCTCTATCTCAAGCACTCTTACTTTCGTTGCGGGTGGGTCTATAAAAATGGTTTATACAGGTTTTCAAAGTTATGATCCTTGGATATTCCCAGGGGTATGAAAGGCTGTCGAATTGGCATCCAACTGCTTGCGCTGGCGGTGAGGTCAGTGCCATGTAAACCCTTTACGGCTGGTCCATGAGAATGAATGATCTCCAGGCGATCGTGGCCATGTCCTCCGGATAGTATATATCTGAGCGCCAATAGTCCAGAGATGGCCAACGCAATTTTGCCCATAACAAACGACGAAGCCGAAAGTGCAGTCAGCCATTTTAAGACCAATGGCAGCAATACTACTTTAGCAACAGCTGCGGCAGCCAGTAACGGATAAATCATTTTCATAAGTTTTTTCTGCTTATGGTGTTTGCCGCGACCTGTTAAACAAATGGCAGTAATTAAAAATTTAGGAGCATGGGAGGAAATTGTGGTATTAGTGGTAAAATTAACCAAGTATCTTGATTACTTTTAAAACTTAAAATTTTAGTTCTTTATTAAAGTTTTTTAAATGTGTTATAATTTAAAGTTAATGACTATTTATTAAAAAGTAGTAATTCTCTTCATTAAGCTGATCACGTTAATAATAATAAAAATATTCAAAATAAACATATTCAATTAAAAATTTTATGTTCTAAGCAAGTTTCATTAATTTTTTTTTGGAGTCACTGGTTATTAAAAATTCAGGCAAACGGAAGATTGCTATATAAAATATGGAACTAGGTCCTAAAACTTGAGCCCAAGTTTAGCTTGGTAAAGTTAAAATAATAATTGAATAATTGTAGGGATTGCCTCATCGTTTAGGTCAATACTCAAAAATTGTATTTGTATTTGTAATTTAAGCAAAAAACCAAATGGCGTTTAAACTGTGTTAAATTTTAGCAAACATTTTGATGATAAATCATTTCTGTTCTTAATTATTTTATTTTAGGCAACACGAAATTTATTTTAAATTTAATGTTTTTTTTCCTTGTCTTTTGGGATCCTCCAAGGCAATTCAAGTTGCACCCACCTTCTGTTGACCAGCTATCCAGCATGTTGTTTACCTCCTCTGCACTCACATCGTCATTGATCAGGCTGTGTAATTGGGTTTCGGCTTTCGTTAGCCACTCCCGCTCCACTCGCTGCCGCTCCTCGGTGGCAGCTTCCTGCTCGGCGTCCTGCTCCACGGCAGCCACAATTGCACCGCCCAGCTGCACCACCGGCGGAAGGCTGTAAGCCATACCGAAGGACACTAGATAGATCAGGTGGAAAATTGTAATTGAGATCGATGTCTTGAGCATGTTTAATCCGTTGCACCGTTCTCAGACGACTGAGCAAAAGTGGGCGCCAACTGCAGACTACTGGTAATGGGGCACTCTCTTCGCTACACTCCGCTGCATTTCAATTTAATTCGGTATCTGTTTATTCTTGGCCAATTGGTGGCCACTCTGTACCGCTACCGATTCTTCTTTACACAGCCAGAAAGTTCTAAGAATTATAACTTGTTCTTACATTGCCTATTAAGTGAAACTCAAAGTTTTATTTGATCGATTAAACATAATTATAATAATTAATAAACAAAATAACAAAGAGTTAAAGATATAGAAAGAAAATTTACGAAAGTAAATAGTTTCATAAGACAAGTTGCCATTTTTCTTACATTTAAAAATGGAAACATTCTCAGCTGAATAGTTAACCTGTGATTTATGATTCCGCTTTTCCCCGAGTGTTCTACCTTGTTTTCGCTGATTTTGTTGTGCTCCGCCGATTCAGTTTTACTTGAGCGTGAACGGACACATTAAATTTTCCCTGCCTTAATGAACGGTTTTCCGCAAACGTTTCACTGTAACTGTGGCTCTCGTTGTGGTTGTTGTTAGTAGGTTGTGTGCACCACACTTGTCGGGGGTCAATTGCTCCGACCATCAACAAGTAAAAACTCTTCATTATCGTTGGAAAGCATTTTACTCGGTCCGTTTCGGTTCACTTGCCCTTTTTGTTTGGCTGCCACGTTTTGCCATTTCTTAGCTGTGTGTGCAAGGAAAAGCTTTTCGGGGAAATGCTCCACGTCACTCACATAGGGATTTTTACCCCCTGGCAAATTTCTTGTCACTGTCGAAAAAATACGCAAACGCATTCATTTATGTTTAGGTGAAGACAGTTGCGGTTAATAAATAAGTATAATTCTCAGACAGCAAATATGTATTTATTTATTTTAGTTCAAAGAATCTTAAGCCTTGTTTTAAAAAAGGTTTAGCAATGCCTTTGGTTTCGCAATAAATGAAATAATTATAATTTACTAGTTTACATATATTTAATAAGTGTATACAATACGTTTATTCTTGAAAATCAAAAGATTAATAATGTAATTGAATAAATTTTGTATATATAAGCTTGACTTATTTAAATTTCCTCGAAAGCCTTTAGTTAAAGCTATTACATTGCTTTATTAATTGGACATCAATTTTCAATTTAAACTCCACTGCTTCTACAAAATTCAATCAAACCAATGGCCCAATGAAAATGTTATTAAAAATTCATTAATAACATTGCCATTAACATGGATAGCCCTGAATACATTTTGGATTTCATTTAAATGCTTTGGCCGAACTTGTGTTTATGTAAAATTTGGTTAATGCCCTGTGGCCAGAAATAATGTTAATTAAATTTTCCCAATATTGAGGAGGCAAGGAATCAGCTTTTACAATTACACGACTCGGCTATCAAGGCAGCAGATTTGCTGGGAAATTAAATAACGTCCAAACTGAATTAGGAGCCGCCCAGACGAGACAAATGGACTTATCTTGTTGACCTGCACATATGTAACTCAGGCTTTATGCACGCTATATATTCACAGGGCGTCCAGGTCCGAACACATTCAAATGCACACGCGTGCCTCGGAACTAATCGCAGTCAACAGTCAACATTCGTTAACGCTTTTGCTGTCGTCACTTTTCATGTCCAAAACCCTGACTTTACCGACTGCAATGTGTCTGCGGAATTTATCGTGGCTTTGCTTTTATTTGGCATCCGGTTAATGCTGAAACTATTCACTGCCAGTCGAAGGTATATTTGGTAAATTCGGCACTGTATGTGTTAGTTGGAAAGTGCTTAAATTTAGCAGAACTTGTTATTTGGAATCGAATTTAATTTACTATTTTTTACATTTACATATGTATGTGTTAAATATTAATTTTGGTATATGAATTCAAGTGCTAAATGGGAAAATACCTTGATTTTCAGATTCGACTATAAATAAGAATAAATACATAAAAATAAATAAAATAAAATTATTAAAGTAATTAAGATAAAATTTGTACTTTAAATACATAAAAATTAATCAGCAATTACCGCAAAAGTTTTGGTTAATAAGTCAAAAAATCGTAATAAAATGAAAAATTAACAATTTTAAAAAACTTTTATGTTTAAAACTGTCCAATAAACAATTTAATTAGAAAATATGATTAGTACATTTTTTTTAATTGCTTGAAATTTTACTTTTTTGTAAAAAGTCTAGGATTGTCTTTTTTATAACTCTGAAATAAATAAATTATTAACAAAACACTATATTGAACCATATTCTTATACCCTATTTCTATATATGTCTGGGCAAACACACACTGCTTATGTTAAGAAAAGAATAATGAAAATGAAATTGAACAAGGTAAAATTGAGGTTAAAAGTGGTCAAAAAAACAAAAAAATTTTAAAATATTGATTACAACATTTTCTTACTTGCTTAAAATTTTTTGAAAAAATTCTCGAGTTTCGTTTTTATCTTTAAAATGAAAAATTAATTAATGAGTGCTGTATATTCTAAAACCCTATTTCTCCTTAAAATCCCTTACATTTATCTAGTCAAACGCAAATTTTCCATTTGCTTATCGTTTTTTTTTTGGGATTTTTGCTGTTATGTACATACTTAATTTTACTTGAGGGGGCGACGTCGCTATCGAAAAAACTCAACATCTCTGGTTTTAGTTACCGAGCAGACAAATCAATGCCGACTGACTAGCTGCACAGCTGGCCAACCCGAGTCGAACAACTAAATCTAAATGTGTTTTGAATCGGCAGCACTCCTTAGAGTTTCTTCAAGACAAGCGACTTGCTGGCATGGCCGCCACCGCCGGAGGTCTTCAGACTCATTACGGCCGTAAAGAGAGCGAAGAAGAAACCGGCCAGGCCCGTGGTGCCCACGAGCAGCGTGAGTCCGCCGATGAGCACCGGGATGAGGGTGAGGAACTTCAGCTTGTAGGCAATCAGCAGGGGGAAAAACAGCTTCTGGATCTTTTTCTTCAGCTTCTTGAGCTTGCGGCCTTCGGATTCCGGGGCCAGACGTTGGGAGCGACCTTGAACCAGGGGGTCCTTTGATGTTGTCGCAGCACCTGGTGGTGCTGTGGCTGCTGCTTCTACTGCTCCGCTTGTGGTGGCATCCAATTTATTTGAACCGGCCTCATCTGTGAGTGGAGAAGCAGCGGAGGCATTAGTTAGCCAGGTAATTAATGGGTCAGTAACAGACGCCCTGAGGTCATGGTCAAACGTCACTTGCATTACCGCACTGAGAGGCTATATATTCAAGGATATATAGGATTATATAATGGGGGTAATTATATGGAGCTAACTTTTAATCAATTTTTATAAATACTTTTTTAAAAGAAAAGTATAATTAATCTAGACGCAAACTAAGTCCACTTGAAACATTAATATTATGTAAAAGATTTATGACTGAAATGTTAAACCTCAAACTATTTATGGAAATTCTCTCAAAATGTAACATTTGCTTATCTTGCATACTACATAACCACTTTTAATCAAATTTTGTAAATATTTTTTTAAAAGAAGAGCACCAAAATAGTATAAATAATCTAGAACACAAACAAAGTCCACTTGAAACATTAATATTATGTCAAAGATTTATGACTAAAATGTTAAACCTTAACTGTTTATGGAAATTCTCTCAAAATTTAACATTTGCTTATCTTGCATACTACATAACATGTTTAATTAATTGGCTTTAATATCTTTGAACTTTTGTGAGTCCGCTTAAAGCTTAAATATCATAATTATGTTTCAAGTCATAAAGCTTTTATTGATTATGGAAACTCTCAAAATGTAACATTTGACATTTGCTTATATTGCATTTTATTAATTGATTTAATTTTAGATTATTAGAGCCTTATGACACAACTATTGAAAGTTCTTAAGAACAATTCATTTAAAATGTAATCTTTGTAAAGTCTAATTCACTTGAAAATATGTATAATTGTTGTACATTTTTCGGACAAGAAATTGAAAATTAGGTAAAAATGGTGGAACGAAGTAACAATATTTTGGAATATATATTTTAGTAATTTTAAAATATTTTTCATAAATATTGTGTCGTTCTATATTATGCTACAGATCGCTTTTCTTGTTTTGCAATTACAGGAAAAAATAGGATAAGCAGATTGAATTAATTATAAATTAAATTGACAAAATTCAAATGATGAACACATGTTGTTAAGTCATATTCTTGAGTCCTTAATCAAATTTCGTTCTTGATTGAGAATTCGCAGGAAAAATACGCACCTGTCTCGTCGCTAATCACACTCCTCAAAATGTCGCAGAAGTCGCGCACTTTTATCAGAGCCCGTTCCAAGGGCGCCAAGTAGGATTCGATACCTCGGAGCGACGCCTGTTCTCCAGCTCCGACTTCCATGGGAAGGATTTCGTTTTCATCATCATCCTCATCACCATTATTAACAGCATTAGCCGGGTGGGTTACCTCGCGAACTTCCGGCTCGACTTCCTCCGCATTTGGAAGCTGTCGTAGGAGTTGGCCCCGTCGCATCTGCTGGCTGATGGCCAAAACATAGCTGGCTGGATCGCTGGGAGGAACCTGTTTGTAATTTCCGCCAGCCGGTCGGGAGCTTTCGTTATAGCGATGGTTGTAGGCGTAGAAATCGACAGGAAGTCGTTCCAGCTCCGGCTCCGGCTCCGGCTCCTTTCGCCTTTCCCGGATCTCCTCGCGCGCCGGCGGCATTGAACTGGGCGCTGTTGCCTGGAGGATGAGCCAATTGTTGTGCTGCGTGAATGGCTGCCATGCATTCATCTCCAGCTTCAACGGCGGATTTTGGCTGCCGGCGGAAGTGGCGCCATTAAAGCGGAGACTGGGGCTGCTCCTTGCCACCTTCATTGTTATGAGCCCGCAAATGCCGAACACCAACACCTGTCGCTGCCACATCTTGGATTGGTCTTTTGTTGCGTATCCTTTGGATGCCACTTGCTACTTGCCACTGCCACTTGCCACTGCACACACGCACTCCGTACGCCGTCAAGAATCGAACTGTGAGGAGGTGAGTGTTTCGAGATCTTTGTAGACCAAATTCTACGGGCCATTCGACAATTTATGGCGCTCGCTGGTTGAGTGATTTTACGGCCTTTCGCCGAAAAGTGCTGCCGCTTTTTGCTTGCGGTCAAGCGCCCAGTTGATCCCCCAGATGGCTTTTCACATCCAAAACTTTTACCTGGAACACACGAAAAGAAATAGTTTTAAAAAGGTTTGAACGTAATTATTGTGGGTCTTGCCCATCGAATTTTGAAAAATTATTTTTAAATATGATTAATTAATTCCCAACAACCATATCTTTTAAAATTTTGAAAAAAATTAATAACCTATATATCCGATAATAGGAATTTACAACGAAAAATTGTATAACGGAGCTCGTTTATGGCTAATATGTAGATTATTAGTAATTAAGTAATTAAATTTTAGCATTTATTTTAAATATGTTTTTAGTTTTTATTTATTAAACAAGGACACAATTTTTAAAATGCATTTATGGTAAGAACTTAGGCAATCATTGCCTTATTTTATGTATTCACTCGCTGAGTTTGTTTTGTTAATTAGTCAAGATTTTAAATTTAAATTTACAGAATTGACTACAGTTTTTTCCTTGTGTACAAATACAAAAGGGTAATCCGTCAGGCGTAACCGGATTGGGTGGAGAGAACCGACCACTTCCCAGTTCCCACTTATGTAAATTTTCACAGATGAAGAGCGGGGTGGTCTCATTGCAGATCGAAGATTAACGCTCCAGGGAGCACAACACGTGCTGCTGCTGTTAGGCCCATTGAGGCATGGCCAGTTTATTTAGAAAACAATGCCGTCCCGGGAGTTTTCACTTTTCACCACCTGACTACTCAATGGCCATGTTGCACGTTCAAAACCACAAGTCGAACTGGTGGCCTTGCACTCGTTGCCACTATTCTATATAGGTTTCGGGCCCTGGGAAAGTGTGCCTAATGGGTAAATTCGAGTAATTGTAGGTCCGTGCGTGCTAATTGGCTCTCTGAACCTGCCACTTGTTGCTTGTGGCAGATAAAGTTGGTTGCTGCCTCGATTTGAATGCAACATCTCTGGTGCTAGCCATGCGTTTAATCTTCTCAAATGGAGGATGGGCCACAAGAGATGTATCTGTGGGTTTTGCAGCACTCACCTTATTGCTTTCCCATCGTCTGTCACATACTTTTGGCCACCAGGTGTTTATTCACCCACCGGCAGGTAAAAAACCTTGCCAGCTTTTCAACGCGTTCCCAAGTTTCTACTTTTTCGTGATGCTTACTTTAAGGCTTGTGGTTGAAAAGAAAGCCACGAGGAAATGGCTAGCTCTAATGAAGCAAGTTAGGGTATGCTGTGTTAACATTATTCCGATTTGATTGAGTTTGGTTTTGACTCTTTAACACTGAATAACTCTTTCGGATGTGTGGTAGAAATATACCATAAGCAATGCCAGTATATACCCATTTACAACCATTTAAGTTTTGATTTTACAGTTTAATCCCTCTGTATTCATATTGCCTATGTTCGGCTTTAAATAATCCTATAAAGTGTACTCTTACTGCAAACAATTTATTTCACAGTTTTTTAATCTATTAAAAACCTATCCATTTATGTAAATTAAATCTTATAAAACAAACCTTTAACAAAGCTTTATTTGATGTATTAAATAATCACAAAATAACACTCAAATAAGCAAAGCAACCCTCAAAAACTGGAATTTAAAGATTGACTTAGTGGTTTTTGGTTTTCTAAATAATGACAGCATCGCAACTAACTTATTATCTGCAGTCAATGTATTGTATATATAAATATAAAATCTAATTATCTTGTATATATATAAATAAAATATCTTCAAGAAAAAATGTATTCACAATTTTTGTTCCCAATATAATAAACAAGTTCCTTCCTGTCTTTGTTTCTCCATTATCGCCATTCAGCATGATGTATGAGAAAGGCTTATGGCACCGAATAAGTGAAATAGCCAGGGCGATAATGGAGGCTTGTGGGCCACTGTGATGGTTGCAGGCTCAAATTGTGGCTTAGGCTGAATAGCAATTGGAATGTCTTTCAGAGCATGGCCATTAACGGCTAGCTATGATTGATAGTGGTCAAAGGAACTTATTCGGGGGAAGCTTAGGACCATAATGGAGAATGACTATAGCTTATTTCCCTCAATGTATGCACTCGTCCAAAACCCGTATTTTATCTTCCATTGTTTTGCTGTCTTGTGTATGAGTATGCTGGCAGCAGATGCTCAAACATGAATCAAGCCAGCTTAAGACATTTAAAGTATTTAATTTTTATTACCGCAAATTTGCATGTGCTTTGTATTTTCGGTTGACTATTATGATGAGCTAACAACTGGGACAAGCAATCTTGCATTTCTGTTCGCACTTCTCGTAGTACACTTGAAAAATAAATTTTGCTAAAATCAACAATGTTAATAAAAAAAACTACATTACCTATAGTGCCTTAAAAAAATGTATCTCTTTTTTCTGAACATCAGTCTGTACTTTGTAGTAGAAGAATACCAATTACCTAATCTTTAATAAAACATTGATTAATAATTAAGATTACAAAATTTTTACATTTTTTAGTTGGTTGCTTGACTAATAAATAAAATATGTTGTTTTATATATTATTCATTTTGCTAAACTTAACTTTATTATCGTTATTTATTTATGAGGGATTTGTATTGTACTTTTATTTATTAACAGTATTGGTTAATCTAAAATCAACAGAAATCTATTCTTACTTTAAACAATAATTGTAAGGAGTTGATATAAAATAATTTTTTCTCACTTTATTAGGCAAGAGATTTAAAACTAAATTGACTTTATATTTTCGACCGTTCTATTTTGTATCACTGCTTGAAATCTTTTGGGTTCCTTTGTTGTCAACCCGTTTAATTTAGCAGTAAAACTAGTTCACTCTTCCTACGGCCTGCCTTAATGGAAATCATAAATTTATATTCGGGAATCGTCCAGGCAGCACCGGGTTTTATCAGAGCTCTGCACAAGATTTGGCATGATGGCAAAGTCACCCTGATGAGTCAAGAGACCTTGTTTTTGGAGTGGAGCGAAGCGTGTGCGACATAAAGCCGCTCACTAAGCCACCTTTGCTGGGGTTTGGTCAGTCAGCTATTAAACCGAAAGCAATTTTAGCTTTGACATTAGTTCTACTTGTGCTTCTCAAGCGTTCGCAATCCGCAATGAAAGTGAGTGGAAGAGGATTCCTGAAAGGATTAAATTCGAACTGACATCCCTTTTCCTTGTCCAGGTATTCGTATGTCTTCTAGCGCTGGCCGCCACTCTGGCAACCGCCAATGCAGGACTCTTGGGTCTACTCAAGGGCGGTGGTGGCGGTGGCTATGGCGGCGGATACGGTGGTGGCTACGGCGGGGGATACGGAAGTGGTGGCGGCGGTGGAGTCCAGGTCGTCAAAGTGATCAACACCTATGAGGGAGGACATGGAGGCGGCTATGGAGGCGGCTACGGAGGCGGATACGGTGGTGGCTATGGCGGCGGCAGCCACGGTGGCGGCTGGAACTCCGGCAGCTACGGAGGTGGTTACGGGGGTGGCTACGGAGGTGGCTACGGAGGTGGTTACGGTGGTGGCCATGGAAGCGGCAGCCACGTGGACGTCTACAAAGTGATCACGACCACCACGCATGGAGGAGGAAGCTACGGTGGTGGCTACGGAGGTGGCTACGGAGGTGGCTACGGAGGTGGTTACGGTGGTGGATATGGTGGTAGCTACGGAGGTGGCTACGGTGGCCAGTCCGGCTGGTGGAAAAAGAAGTAAACACCAAACCCCATATATGCCCTACTTCGCAGAACTACTCTCCATTTATCTGCAATCCGGATATAAACTCGTTTACGTACCTGAAAAATCTTCCATAGCTAATCAGCACGAATCTCTTTAATGCCAGTTATTCCCAAATTAGCGAAACTAGTTTGGGATGATCGGCAGACTGCTTGGCGAACACATAAATAAAAGCAAAAGTGAATTTTATTTAAATTAAATAAAGAGCTTTTTGTTTATACTTGTAACTTTTTGCATTTTTAATAGTACTAGATTTGTAAGTTAGCCTTTCCCTTTTTTAGCATAATATCTTTAAGCTCGAAAAACTGGCTGTTAAAATCTATCTGATTAAATAAATAAATTAAAGGCGGACTCTAAATTAAATTTATTGTTCTGCCTTTCTTGTAGAAATATTACTCAGTATAAATTAAAGCTCAAATGCTTTTACCATTATACTGCACACGTCGAGATTAAATTATAAACTTTGCTTTTTAAGGCCATAAATTAAATGCATATTTCCGGATTTTTATATGTCACACTTTTGTGCTTACTTCTTTTGCCTTAACAATAGACAAAAACACAAGACAACTTAATCATATTTAAAGTGGTGAGTCATTATGCGAGAGTTAAGGGATTTGTTGTCTAGTAAATATCAATATTGTAAAAAAAAGTCCCTTGTGGAACTAGAAATTAATATTAATTAAAAACATATATGTAAAGTATGTAAAGTATACCTTGACAAGTTTACATTTCCTAAAGGAGCTGCCTCTTGTCATCCTAATAAGTTTGGTTTTTGTAATTTATTATATTTGTACGAGGTTTTTAATTGATATGAAAGGCATTTCATATAATTAATTTCAGGTTTGGCCATTCTATTTTAATTGACAGACAAAATGTACATTCTAACTTAAATGCATATTTATAGCGGACAGGCAATTTGAATTCACTCTTCTTGTGGTGATTTAATAATGATTGGATTTTGTAGTTATATAAGAATATTAATTAATAATGTACAAAGAATTTAGGCAATTAAAGTGAAGGACATTTTAACAAGCTTGCGGATGTCTACAATTTCAGAAGCTCAATGACAAGCAGAATATTCAATTAAAGTAGATTTGGCCAACAGCTTTAACTTACTTAACGGACACCCACAGATTTTCATCTGCCTGCAGAGCACATTACTCGTCTCAGAACCCAACTAATTGGATGATGATTCATTTTACGTAATTCATTATTGTTCCCTCCTGAAATCTCTGATGTGTTATGTTATGATTAAAGTCCAGGGGGTGCATACTCGTACTTGCACAGCTAACTAACTTTTCTCCTTACGTTCATGGGCTGGAAAATGTTTACACAGCTGAATTGTGGACCAACTTGCTTCATGGCTTTAAGCCCCTGTGTGCTTGTGTGTTTGGGCCAAAGCAATAAACGTGGGCCATAAGGTTGCCAAATATGGGACAAACACCCTGGGTCACTACAAGTGGAATTTATGGGAGCCGGAGATGGGTCCAAGTTTTATTGGAATCTGGCCAGGGCAGGCGGAAGTAGTCCCCGGGAAGTGTATATATTTGGCCAAGTATCTTTCTTTAACTTGACCTTCCCAAAGCTTAAGCGGAAAAAGCGAAAAAGTCTGTACTTCGATTGGTATCAGTGATTTTATTCGTATACATTTTTTTTTTCTTTTCTGTTTTTTTGAAAACTTTGCTGCTTACATGCGATGTACACTTACGGCTAGTAAATAAATAAATAAGTTAAATAAATTATTACACTTAGTGGCTACGTACAGTTAGACAAGCTATAGTTAATGTGAGTGCGCTAGTGGAGTGAGATGGAAACGGAGAAGCGGAAGTACAAGAGGTAATTGAAAATAGCCAGTGCAGTTAGCAGTTAAGAAGTAAAGCACATCGAGATGCAGATTGAGATGCAGAGATGCAAAGATGCCAAGATGCCAAGATGCAGAGGCCGAGTTCAGTAATTTAGAAACAGTAAATGCGGATGAAAGAACTGAGCAGGGCAGAGCGTTGCATAGAAGCAAACATAATCGATTAAAGCAAATACTAATCATTATAAAAAAATCAAATGCAGCCCAGTGGGAACGCACGTTCTAGATACATTTCAGGCGCTGTATCCATAGGTGCCACTGGGCGTCGAGTGAACGAGTGAACCGTTGGAAGTGCATCAAGTCTCTTGTCTGCCCCGCAGTGCAAGTGCAAAAAGAGAGCTTATGTATATCTAATTACAATCCGACCGCCATCCGCCATCCGCCGTCCGTGATTTATCCACAAGATAAATGCAGCTATCTAACACTTGGTGTCACTCCGCTCCGTCCGCTCTGTCCGTTCCGTTCCGTTCCGCCCTACGACTTGGCCACCTGCGGCGCCGCGGCCTTCGGATGCAGGTGGTGTTGGTGTTGCAGCTGCGGATGACCCTGCGCATGTGCCGCCTGCTGCTCCTGCTGGTGGTGGGCCCGATAGGCCAGCTCTTGGGCCTCGGTCAGGGATCGCCTGTCCCAGCCGCCACCACCACCGCCCCCCGCCGCCCGAGGACCAGCCACCGCCTCCGCCGCCGCCACCGCCGCCGGACGACCAGCCGGAACTGCCGCCCGACGACTTGCCGGACATCAGCTTCTTCAGCCCGATTATGCCCGCCAGGAGCAGGGCGATCTTCGAGATGATCAGCGCCTTGCCCGCCAGTATGTAAAGCGCTCCCATGGCAATCGGAATCATGCCCATCAACTTCATGGCCATGCCCATCATCATCATGCCCATCATCTTCTTCATTTTACCACGACCTGCAAGAGAAATATTGGGTAAGTTTGGGGTATCATCAAAAGAATTACAGACTACTGTTAACTATATTTAAGTCTTAGCTACAAGTAAAGTTACTTTACTGGTTTTCAAAAACAATTCATAACAAAAAGGACAATAAAATCAGCTTAATCTATTGAGAAAAACTGTAAAATACAACTCTCTAAGTAGCATTTAAATTTGTATAGTGCATTTAAATAAATAATTAAATTTCAAACATTTTCCTTTCATTTTAACTATAAACATTATGTATGCTTTCACATTTTTGTCAATTTATTGTTTTACACAAATACGGAGAAATCACTTAAGCAGAGGAGGAATTTAAACAATCTAATTATAAATATTGTAATGCTTTTGTATTGTAAAGGAATCCAATTAACAAAATTGGCAAAATAATTGACTCTAAGTATGAAAGCAATGTTCATCAAATAAACAGACAACAGATAACTGCTTAAGCATTTAACCATAATCTAAAAAAGTAAAACCTATTAAAAAAGTTTGTAAATTCAAAAAGTCAAAAGAAAAAAGAACTTATCAACATTATATGCCATATTTTGTAAGTGCTACTTAAGGGAAGTATTAAAAGTTATGTTGTCAAACCTTCTGACAAGAAGTAAAGTTACTTATCTAGGTTTATGACCAAGAGGGTAATAATGCCAACAATGATCTTGGAAAGTATTGTAATAACCAAAGTAAGAACAATTAAATCTCTGAAGATCTGGCAAGATCTCTACAGATCTTCCGACGATCCCCTGGAAAATATTCAAAAGACGGTGAAAGTGCCAGCTCAATTAAGCAAAGGCTGCGCGAGAATGTTTTCCCAGGTGATTGAGGCTCTGGCATTCGGTTTTGGCAGGCACCGTGTGTGGCTTTCATTTTGCTGCCTTCATTAGGGACACTGCGGGCGATTTCACCTGTGCTTACCTGTGCATGGCTGGGGAAAATTGCATTTCGACTTGGGCAAGTCCATGGATATGGAAATGGAAATGGCGGTGGATATGGACACTAATGCTGCCCAAAAGAGCGATGATCGCACAGTCATAACCAGCTCTAAACAGGCATCTCAATCGATAGCCGCAATCTCTGGCAGCGAGCATTAGCCAAAAATGGCTGTGCCATTGGGAAAGTGTTGGCCAACTTGTACTGCAGCTCCTCGTATCGATTAAAAAATCTTGATCAATGATTTGAAAGTAAAAGAAATATTTCATGTGGCGTGAAAGTAAGTTCACTTTTCATTGCATTGCATTGCGATCTTGATGTGGATGTTGCAGTAAGTGCTTGTGTCAAATTTGTAATCGACGACAGCCCGCATTCAAAATGGAAATGCCAATGGCCCAGTCGAGGAGTTGTTTTTCGTGGCCTCGACGGAGAAACGTGGTCGCCACTTTCATTGCATTTGACATGGTCATGACATCTAGACATGGCTTAGTTTTTGCTTTTAACTCGTCATACTCTGCCCTCCAAGGGATTAGATACTTGATACTTGAAGTTGGCCAGACTGTTGTTTATCTGGGACTTCACTTAGAGTCACTGACAATTATATTTATTAAGTTAAACAATGCATTTTATGCATGTGTCTTGAGGTATAAATGAATTTTGAGTTAAAGTTGTATTTATAAATATTTTAGAAATTGTAAAGAAATACTTTCAATGCTTTTAGCTGCTTTTCAAAGTTGTTTAGAAATTATATATGCCAAATTTTTTGCATTTATGAAAATAACAACAAGACTTGCCCATTTTTTGCCCCTTGTAATTTTTAATTACCTAACAACTCCCAATTGTTCTTAAAAATTATTGCATTTAATTACTTTGTATAATTATAATGATTTGTAAGTGTTATTTGTCGTTGGATTTAAATATACATAGAGTTCTTGTTGTCTGTTAAAAAAAAAACTAGAGTGGTTAAGCTTCGTGGTGGCAGAATTACCCTGCATGTCATGTTTTTCGGCTGTTTTTGGACAACACGAATTTTGTGGCATGACATTTTTTTTTTCGACGATTTCGCTACCGTCTGTCTGATGTCGTTGGTAAGGTTTCTGGGTCATTCCTGAGTTGCTCAACGAGTTTTCTCGTGTGTGCGTTTTAAAAGAGGCGAACGAAAAATAAAAACAATTGCGCATTTTCCCAGAGTCTCTATTTCCCCCAATTTCCCGCCCCCCGGGCAGCCCACTCGCCCTGTTTACATACAATGCAGTATGATAAGCCAGGAAGTGGGCCAGCCAGCGGTGCTGGCGGTGCAGTTGCGAATGTCATTGCCAGCTAATATACACATTGGAGCTTTATGATGGCTCTCTTGGCTCTAATAACTGCCTGGCAATTACCGGGGACATAGCCACAGGCGTAGTCGCAGTCAAATTATGTCACTGTTACGCGCAATGGATACTGGGGTATTAGCGGTAACCGCAATTAGACCG